CGGAGCATTGTCCAGTGAGAAATTTCCAGCACGAATCTTCGTAAACCACATTTCACACATTCAGTCAGCCACAGCACCTTCTCCATACACGGCACAAGTCTTTTATTGCATTTCAATTGCATTTTTACCTTTTTTGAAATAATGAAGCATACTGTGCCAAAAATGCATATTTTCTTTCATCTTCAATGTTAAAATGGCTGCACAAAAATTTATCAATTTTGATGTTTTTTAAAAAAATGTACATTGATGAGACAGATGTCACAATACAATGTAACGAAATTGTTTCAAATGAAGTCAAAGCCAACTAAGTGGTACTGGAGCGTCTTACGGAAAAAGCCAGACGACATTTTTGGCCAACCACTTATAAAAGGAACCAAACAGAACTTAAGAATATAATAACTAAAATTAAAAAACAATACACTAGAGGGAATCAACATCAGATGAGCTGACAGAGGAACAAATGGAACCTGGAAAACAAGGCAGTGGAAATCCCCCAACTGGAACAGCAGAAAGAATGAACAACTGAGAACAGTTTAAGGGACCTCTGGGGCCACACCAAGCACATCGATATTCACATCATAGGGGTTCCAGACGGAGAAGAGAGAACGAGACAGAAAAACTAGTTGAGGAAACAATGACTGAAAACTTTCCTAACCTGGTGAAGGAAATAGACATACAAGCCCAGGAAACACAGAGAATCACAAACAAGATGGATTGCAAAGAGGCCCACACCAAGACATAACAATTAAAACGTCAAAAGTTGATCAAAATTACAATTAAACTACAAAACCACCATCATTCAGAACTACCTGAAACCTCACTAAATGAAATCCCATAGCTAAGGATTTCAAAAAGTCACATAGAGACTGGTAGGAAGGGCAGAGATGCTGAATAGGCTGGTCCCACGTGTGTTGCAGATAATAATCGAAGGAGTATCTTGGCTGTGGAAGGTGCCTGCCCCCCCACCAGTAGCAAGGGGTACCAGGCCCAAAAGTCCAGGGTTCCAGTGCCAGGAAGACAATTAAGTCCCCATAACTTTTGGCTGTAAAAAAACAGTGGGAACTGTGGCTGAGATGAGGGCTTCTGGAGTCCCAGGCATTTCCTCTTAAAGGGCCCACGGACAGACTTACTGGGACCCATTCCCTCTGAGCTCCAGCACTGGGGCAGCATCTCAAAAGAAATCAGGGACACATAGGGAGAAAATAAATGGTCTGGCATCAGGGCAAGAGCTGGGGCAGGGCAGGGCGGGTGGGGGCACTTTCTGCCACTCAAAAGTGCTAGCAGAGGCCATTGTTCCTTTTCTGAGCTCCGCCCCCCCCCAAAAAAAAACCTGGCAAGTGGGAGCCATACCTGAGTCTCCCTCAAGGTGACTCACACTGTTCACCCTGCCCTGGTGATGCCCTGAGATCCTGCCCCTCCCACACGGAGGCCCACCCAAACTGTCTCAGGCCCACCCAAACTGTTTCCAGTGGCTTTTCTATAAGAAAGTCCTATCTTGGCTCATACTTCAGATTTCCCTTAAATTTCTCAAACAAAGCAGCATCTGGCCTCAGCACACCCCCTACCTCTCCATAAGTGGCCCCAGGCCTGGTGGTACTAGCAACAGCTAGATTTGGTTCACAGCTTGACCTGGCCTGGGTACCTTCAAGCCCAGCAAAAGTAGCAGCCATATGCAGATCACTTTGTAGCTCTTGTCAAGTGGCCTTGGGCAGGACACAGGCAGCAGCTGACCTTCACCTGTACCTCCGGGAAGACCCCAGAGCCAGTGCCCCTGGTGGACAGCTTCAGACCATGTGGAAGTTACCACCTAACCACTTCCACAGTGACACATTAAAGGGACAGACTCAGGGGGCACCAGAGCCCTGCTTAAGTAACTGTTGCTCTGTGGGGTGGGCCCCTGCACAGCTGATCCTACACTGGTGTCAGCCAGTCCTTGCAGCCAACTGGCCAGGGGGTAAATCCCTCCCCCATTGATATGCCAACAGCGGTCAAGGCTACAACAAGAGGGTATACACGGCCCACACAGGGTGAAGGTGGGGGCAGGGGCATCTGGAGTGCCCATCTTAGGTGATCAAGGAAGCTGTGCCACTGAACCCTACAGAACACCTACTACATTAGGCCACTCTACCAAGCCCGGGAGATGGAGCAGCTCTACCTAATTCATAGAAACAAGCACAGGGAGGCTGCCAAAATGAGACAAAGAAACATGGCCCAAATGAAAGAACAGAACAAAACTCCATAAAAAGAACTAAACAAAATAGAGATGAACAATTTACTAGATGCAGAGTTCAAAACACTGGTTATAAGGATGCTCAATCAACTAGTGAGAATCTCAACAGCATAAAAAATGACATGGAAACCATAAAGAACCAGTCAAAAATGAAGGATACACTAACTGAAATGAAGAATAATTTACAGGGAATCAATAGTAGAGAAGACGAAGCTGAGAATGAACCCAACAATTTGGAATATAAGGAAGCAAAAAACACCCAATCAGAAGAGCAAAAAGAAAAAAGAATCCCCAAAATGAGGGTAGTGTAAGGAGCCTCTGGGACATCTTCAAGCATACCAACATACCGTCAAGGGGTGACAGAAGAGAACGAGCAAGAAATTGAAAACTATTTGAAATAATAATGACAGAAAAATCTCCCTAACCTGGTGAAGGAAACAAACATAAAAGTTCAAGCCACACTAAGACACATCATAATTAAAACGGCAAAGGTTAAAGACAAAAAAGACAATCTTAAAAGCAGCAAAAGAAAAGCAGTCAGTTACCTACAAAGGAGCTATTATACACCGTCAGCTGATTTCTCAGCAGATACCTTGCAGGTTAGAAGGGATTGTCAAGAGGTATTCAAAGTCATGAAAAGCAAGGACCTAGTGCCAAGATTACTCTACCCAGCAAAGCTATCAGTTACAGTAAAATTATATATATATCCCCAGACAAAAAAAAAAGCTAAAGGAGTTCTTCACCATCAAACCAGTGTTATATGAAATGTTAAAGGATCTTCTTTAAGAAGAAGAGGGAAAAAAAGATAAAAAATATGAATAAAATGGCAATAAATACATATCTATCAACAATTGAATCTAAAAACAAAATAAATGAATAAACAGAACAGAAGCAGACTCAAAGAAACAGAATATTTTGATAGCTGACAGATGGGAGGGGGTTCAAGGGGATGGGTGAAAAAGGTGAAGGGACTGAGAAGCACAAATTGGTTGTTACAGAACAGTCATGAGGATGTAAAGTACAGTACAGGAAATATAATTGATAATATTCTAGTAACTATTATGGTGTCGGATGGGATGATCTCTTGGGAAGTTATTAATGTCAACTCACTGGGATATATAATATTGCATGTTTGCTGTAATTGAAAAATAAAAAATATTAAGTGACTTGGTGACCCACCTCCAAAAATAAATAAAATGCAAAAAAAGTTAAGAACAAAATCTTGCGATTTGGGACAACATGAATGGACTTAGATGGCATTATGCTAACTGAAATTAAGTCAGAAGGAAAGACTAATACCTTACGATTTCACTTAAATGTGGAATCTAAAAAACAAGTGAACAAACAAAAGGAAAAAAACTCATAGATACAGAACAAACTGATGGTTGCCAGAAGTGAGGAAGGTGGGGAGATAGGCAAAAAAGGTGCAGGGAATTAAGAAGTACTAACTGCCAGTTATAAAACCAATCATAGTGACATAAAATACAGCATAAGGAACAGAGTCGATAATATTGTGATAATTATGTCTGTTGCCAGATGGGTGCTAGACTTATCATGGTGATCACTCATTGCGGTATACAAATGTCTAATCACTATATTGTATACCTGAAACTAATAAAACACTGTATGTCAACTATAATTAAGAAATAAATTTTTTTTAAAAAGCAGGGACATGAACAGACATTTCTACACTCATGTTTATAGCAGCATTATTCATAATAGCTCAACGGGGGAAGCAACCCAAATGCCCATCAACAGATGAAGAAATAAAATGTACGCACATATAATAAAATATTCTGACATATGCTACGACAGATGAACCTTGAAAACAGTGCTAAATGACATAAGTGAGTCTCAGAAAAATAACTAGGTCATTATTTCACTCAAATGAGTTACTCAGAGTGGTGAGATTTAGAGACAGAAAGCAGAATGGTGGTTGCCAGGGACTGGCAAAAGAATGGGAAGTTACTATTTCAATGTGTCCAGACACCAAGGCTTGGTCTGCAGCCCACTCATTTTACCACCCTTCTCCAGGTGATCCCAGCTAGTTTTTTGGTCTTCATTTGTCCCTCTACGACTGCTCTTCAACAAGGTGAGAGGTGTGTTTCCCTGTAAAACTTCACATCACTCTATCTGGAAAATGAACTGCCTTCCCTTTCCTTAACTGTAATTCAGAGGGCAAGGACTAAATCTTTTTCATTTTTTTCTTCCAATACCCAGCACAGTGCTTGGGAACACCAAACACGCTCAAACATTTGAATTAGACTGCAGGTCGGCACTGTCCACTACAACTTTTTGTAATTACAGGAATGCCTTACAGTTGTGCTGTCCACTATTGTAGCCATAAGTCATATGTGCCAGTGAGCGCCTGAAATCTGGCCTAGCACAACTGAAGAACTGAATTTTTTAAAAATTTATAAGTAAAGAGCCACATGCAGCTAATGATTACTGCACGTTTTAGAGTGCTGCTCTAAAACTCCCTCTGGGTTTTATTTCTTCTAGTTGGCCTCAGATTATTTTGTAATACTGTTTTCCTCGTGGTCATAAAAGACACCAATTAAAAATACCGTGATTCACTAGGTCTGGCTATTTGTCTCCATAACTTTCACTATCAAAGGATATAAAACACTCATTCAAGTTCTGAAAATATGGGTTTCTTACATAATCTCATTCTAGGTGTAGGTTTACGTCTCATGCATTACTCCTCAGCCTTATGAACTGACACTGTTACATCAGTTAACGGTGGCAAAGGGGTAAGAAAGCATCCTACCGTTTTCACGATGTAGTGGACCACAGCATGCAAGTGTCGGGTGGAAGTTCCACTAACGATCACAAAGTAATCTGCATATTTCATTTCTGGAGGAACCTTGATCACACAGATGTCTCTTGCATTTTCTTGCCTTAGAAGTGACACCAGCATATCAATATCAAACTTGGGACCAGTATGATCTGAAATGCACAAGGATTTGCTTGTGTCAGGTGACCAAGTAGGAAAAAGACACGGTATGCACCCAGAGACAACTGACAGTGAAACTGCTCTTCCATGAGGATATTTTGATTTGAAATGTTTTCAAAGATGGCAGGGCCCAGGCATCCTGGAAGCTGAACCTGGGCAGGGTTTCACCCAGCATCATTCTGCTTTGATAGGGAGGGTGCTCAGGTTACACAGAGCCACCCTCCACCCTTTGCTATTACCGTGTGCAAATAGAGCCACACATCAGCAACAAATGACGTTTTGTTAACTAGTACTTGGGGAAATGAGCGATATACCTTAGACCCAGAACTGTCAGAGAAAGAAAGGAAAGAGCAGCACAAACTGCGAGGCTCGAGGGTGATAGTCTGGGTTGTATTAAGTTGAATCCCTGACACAGAGGATCACAGAACTAGAATTGCGAGCTGGAAGGGCATTTATTAGCTTGCCCTCAACCTTCATTTGAGAGAGGTAGAAACAAGCCTAGCAGAATAAATGCGGAGCCCCAAATCAACCGATGAGAGCTAAAAGTTTAAAAGTAATTCTTATTTTGAACCCTTAAGTTTTTCTTATAAAGCTATTTGGGTTATGTGACAACCATTATCCGTGAGAACCTATTTTTTCCCCTTTAGCGATTTAAATATTTTTCTCTTCACTTTGGAGTATTAGAGCCCCTATAAGTTTATAGCTCCCTTACGTTCCACAGCAGACTCCCAAGGACCTAGTGGCTAAATTCACTAACACCTCCTCCCTCATACTCTAGCCTTTCCCAGATTTGATCCATTTACCATCTCTCAAGTTTGTAAAATCTCCGATAATTACAGCTCCTTAAATTAGCCCCACATCCTATCAGGTCTCCGTACACCCTTCGCCCCCTGCCCCTGGCTCTTCCTCCGAATCTTCACGCCTCAACACGCTTGACTAGGCCATTTCTCAGGACATAGGAAGAGTGTGAAGGGGAGTGAGGGCGGTGAGAAGGATCCAGTGTGGCCCTCAGTTCATCTCTTGGCCTCACAGAGTCTTCACTGTGAAATGACAAAGTTGGCGCCAACAACCCTTCAAGTCCCTTCTAGTTCTGGATCTGTAGGAGTTTTGTGACTCCAAGAGAAATGCATAAAAAGGGTAACTCAGAGCCTCCTCGGCTGGGACCCCTTCCGGCTGCACGCAAGAGGCCGTGGTCGCCTTACCCCACGCCCGTACCTGCAAGGGGTGATTCCGGGAGCCCCTCGCGGGCTGCCCTCCAAGTCGGCTTCTCCAGGTCAGGCCCTCCATGCAGGCCGCGCGCATGGTCGGGGGTCAAGCAGGCCCGGCCGACAGCAGGTCCCGTGGGAAGCTGCCCTGAGCCCAACCGAAGCGGAGACGCAGCAACAAGCACGGAAAGGTGCCTACGGCACAGCTGCGTACAGAGCTGCCGAGCCGCAACGCCTCCCGGCCCCATGGCCGGCTCCCAGAGCTAGCACCTCGACTCTAGAGGCGGAGCTTACTGGAGCCAGAACCGCTTCTGCGGCTTTCGATTGGCCAGATACTAGGAAGTAGCCTGGAAAATTTGCGTCAGGAACGTGGGCGGAACCAGAGTCCGAAGGCGGGGCTATGGGCGTAGTCTGAGGCCTGGTGGTGGCCTTGGTAAACTGACTCGGACTTACGTTTTATAGCAGTGGAAGGACTGGTAATTGTCCACCTTGCTTTGCCCTGTCAGGGTGAGGCACCAAGTCGCCCTTGCCTTTTTCTGTATGTAAATTTCACAGGGGGGGGTTCTTTTTTAATGTATTTCATTGATTATACTATTACAGTTGTCCCAGTCCCCCCCTTTATTCCCCTCTGCGGTGTATACTCTCACCCACCTGCATTCTACCTCTTTAGTTCATGTCCGTGGGTTGTACATATAAGGTCTTTGGCTTCTCCATTTCCTATACTATACTTAACCTCCCCCTGTCTATTTCCTACCTGCTATTTATGCTACTTATTCTCTGTACCTTTTCTCCCTCTCTCCCTCTCCCCCTCTCCCACTCCCCCACTGATAACCCTCCATGTGATCTCCATTTCTGTGATTCTGTTCCTATTCTAGTTGTTTGCTTAGTTCATTTTTTGTTTCTTTTTTTAGGTTCGGTTGTTAATTGCTATGAGTTTGTTATTTTACTGTTCATATTTTTAATGTTCTGTTTCTTAGATAAGTTCCTTTAACATTTCATATATTAAGGGCTCGGTGATGATGAACTCCTTTAACTTGACCTTATCTGGGAAGCACTTTATCTACCCCTCTGTTATAATTGATAGCTTTGCTGGATAGAGTTGTCTTGGATGTAGGTCCTTGCCTTTCACTATTTGGACTCTTATAATTGATAACTTTGCTGGATAGAGTCATCTTGGATGTAGGTCCTTGCCTTTCACAATTTGGAATACTTCTTTCCAGCCCTTTCTTGCCTGCAAGTTCGTTTGTTTGTTTTTGAGAAATCAGCTGACAGTCTTATGGGAACCCCTTTTTAGGTTACTCTTTCCTTTTCTCTTGCTGCTTTTAAGATTCTTTCTTTATCTCTAATCTTGGCTAATGTAATTATGATGTGCCTTGGTGTGTTTCTCTTTGGGTCCAACTTCTTTGCAACTCTGAGCTTCCTGGACTTCCTGAAAGTCTATTTCCTTTGTCAGATTGGGGAAGTTCTCCTTCATTATTTTTCTAAGTACGTTTTTAATTTCTTGATCTTTCTCTTCTCCTTCTGGCATCCCTATGATTTGGATGTTGGAACATTTAAAGTTGTCCTGGAGGTTCCTAAGTGTCTCCTCATTTTTTAATTTTTTTGAATTCTTGTTTCTTCATTCTGTTCTGGTTTAATGCTTCTTTCTTCTTTTTGCTCCAAACCATTGATCTGAGTCCTGGTTTCCTTCCCATCACTGTTGGTTCCCTGTAGATTTTCTTTATTTTATATAATGCAACCTTCATTGCTGCCTGGGTCTTTTTTATGCTATTGAAGTACCCAGTGATTTCCTGGAGCATCCCGATAACCAGTGTCTTGAACTGTGCATCTGATAGGTTGGCTATCTTTTTGTCACTTAGTTGTATTTTTTCTGGAGCTTTGAACTGTTCTTTCATTTGGGACTTTTTTTTCTTTTTTGGTCTGGGCCCACCTGTTAAGTAGTAAGGTACAGAGACTTAGGTGTTTACCAGGGTGGGGCAACCCACCTGGCTATGCTGCAACACTGTATGTGGAGGGGAGGGGGTGTCCGAGAGGAAACAGTGCTGCTTGCTCTGCTCTCTGACAGTTTTCAGTCACTTCCTCGGCTACCCACAATCAAATTGGGCCCTTCTGGTGCTGATTCCCAGGTGGGTGGGTTTGTGTATGTTCTAGGACCCTGTGGGTCTCTCCAACAAACTCTCCTGTGAGGCTTGGAGTTTCTCCCACTGCTGCCTCAACCCCTAAAGGTGTTTTCAATCAGAGGCTTTGAGACTGTATTTCCCCGAGCTGGAGCCCTGAGTTACTCAGTCTGTCTCGCTCCCTAGTTGTTCCTCCTGGTTTATCTGCACATGAATGTGGGACTGCCCAGTCTGCAAGCTGCCTCCTTGTTCTGTCCTCTAGCCACTGCCTTTCCAGGAGTCCTCTCCACCCAGCTGCCCATCTCTGCCCCTTCTACCGGTCTGGGTGAGTGTTTCTTCTTTAACTCCTTGGTTGTTGGACTTCCATACAGTTCGATTTTCTGTCAGTTCTGGTTGCTTTTTGTTTTTAAATTTGTTGTTGTCTTTCTCTTGGTTGTGCAAGGAGTTGCAGTGTGTCTACCTATACCTCTATCTTGGTCAGAAGTCCAAATATTATCAGGAATTTTTTAAAAGATCTTATTTATTTATTTTTAGAGAGAGGGGAAGGGAGGGAGAAAGAGAGGGAAAGAAACATTCTCCCACAGATGCCTCTACCCACCCAGGCAACTGGGAATTAAACCGGTAACCTTTCAATTTGGGGGATGCTGCCCAACCAACTGAGATGCACAGGTCAGGGCAGTAAGGCTTTTTATAATGTATTAAAATGAAGGAAGGCAGCAGCTGAAAGCTTGGAAATACAGCTTGTCTGCTGAAGCAGTCTTGTTTTCAAAGCTGAGCTTTCTGCCATGTCCCAGTGAGGAGTCAGTGCCTGGAATGCTTCCATGGCTACCTCTCATTAGGGGGTTCTAGGATGGTAGAAGTCATTTTATAGATCAGGTGAAGTACATTTTCACCGTCAACAAACACAGGTGGCTTGGTTTGCCATCAACAGCCATTGTGAACCCAACCAGAAATAACTTGGAGTTGGCGGGTGGGTTTTGTAGGAAAAGGCAAGCAGGTCAGGTCTTGAGGTTTGAAAGCTCTCTAGAAGTATCAAACTCATTTTCACCAGGGGCCACATCAGCCTTGCGGTTGCCTTCAAAGGGCTGAATATAATTTTAGGACTGTATAAATGTAACTACTCCTTAACTAGGGGCAAGGAGCTCTACATTTGGCCCTTTGAAGGCAACCGTAAAGCTGGTGTGGCCCACAGTGAAAATGAGTTTGACACTCTGCTCTAGACTGTTTTGAATGGAATCACTTAAATATCATGCCTATGAGGTTGTTCAGACAACACATAAGGAACATTATAAAAAGTTTCTGAATATACTCTAGCAGTGAGAAAAACAAGAGAACTACCCAGATTTACCCAGATTCAGCAAATCTTCTTTTTGCTATATTTCAGATCTCTTTCTCTTTGGAAATAAAGTGTTAGATTCAGCCGAAGCCCCTTCACAATCCTCTTTAATCCCAGGCCTCTCTCCATTGTCAGTGACCACTGTCACTGTCCTGAATTTGATGTGTCCCATTCCCGTGCATGTTTCTGTTCTTTAACTTCCTATGTAGGCATACGTACTTTAGAGAATTGCTTTACATGTTTTTTAAATTTTGCTTAAATATCATGCTGTGCCAGTGGCTCGTTGTTGACATATCTTTGCTGTTTTCATTTGCATTTCCCCCAGTGACTGGTGTGGTTGGACATCTCTTCATGTGTGGATTGGCATTTGGATTTTCTCCCTTGTGGGTTGTCTGTTCATGAACCTTTGCCAATGTTTCTATGAATTGTGTTTATTTAAAAACTCTTTTAGAAGTTACGTTATTCCACTGAAAAAAGTAAGTGATAATCCTCGCTGATATGGCTCAGTGGATTAAGTGCCGGCCTGCAAACCAAGAGGTTGAGGGTTCAATTCCCAGTCAGGGCACATGCCTGGGTTGTGGGCCAGGTCCCCAGTAGGGGGTGCATGATAGGCAACCACACATTGATGTTTCCCTCCCTGTCTTTCTTCCTTCCTTCCCCTCTGTCTAAAAATAAATAAAATCTTAAAAAAAATTAAAAACTAAGTGATGTTTGCAATGTACTAAAGAATACACAAAACATGTAGAGAAAATATAAAGAACAAAACATCCCTACCAGTCAGTGTAGTGAAACAAGTTTCCTGACTGCTGCTTCCATAGCACCTATTCCTCCTCCCCAAAGACAACCACTGTGCTGAATTTCATGGAGTAATTCATGTACGTTTGTGTACATTCCTATTTTGTTTAGTTTTCTGTGCTTTTGAAAACTTTACATAAATGGTATCATATTGCATGCATTCTTTGGTAACTTGCTTTTTTTCTGTCAATATTAGATTGATGAGAGTCTCTCTATCGGTGTTTATAACTGCAGGTTTATTCATTTTCATTGATGCACAGTATTCCATTCTACATGTTTGGAATCTACACAGTTCCATTCTAGATCAGTATCCCAACTGATTTATGCGTTCTATCATTGAGGGGCATTTGGGTTGCTCCTCATGCTGTTCTGCATGTGCTTGTCCATGTCCCCTGGAACACACGTGCCAGGGTTTCCCTGGGGCATTCGACACCCAGGAGATGGCTGGGTCATAGGAATGTGCGTCTTCAACGTCACCAGACAGTACAAGATTGTTCCCAAAACCATTGTTCCAATTTAAACTCCCCACAGCAGAATATATGTGTTCCGGTGTTCTTGCTTTCACCAATGCTTAATTTTATAACTGCCAATCTGGCGGGTGCGAAATAATGTCTCATTGTGTGGCGATTTGTGTTTCCCTAGCAATTTTCTTTTGCACAGTCTAGGCACATAATCTTTTATCATGTAGTAAAAATTGTATTCTTCCAGTCTGCGCCTTTTGATTTTTAATCAACTTTATGGAGGTATATTTATATAAAATAAACATAACCAATTTTAACCCTAAAATTTAATGGTGTTCGGCAAATGTGTGCGGTTGTGTGACCAGTACAATTGTGGTATAAAGCGTTGCCCAGGCCTCCTAAAGTGCCCTGTGTCCTCCTGCCCTCTCGGGCAAGCACTGATCTGTTCTCAATCATTGTAGTTTTGCCTTTTCCAGAATATCATATAAACAGACTCATTCAGTGTGTCTGGCTTCTTTCATTTAGCATAAAACTTTTGAGATATGTCCATGTT